CCTATTATTAATGTTCTCAGAAGTGTTTCTAACATTTTTTTCTAAGGATAACTTTCTAAAACTATCTTTGTATTGTATCAAATATTTTTATTTTATCAAGTGTCTACGCCTCTGATGTTTATTTATCTGAAATATCTTTTCCAATCTCTTTTGTTAATAATATGCTTTCAAATTATACTTATTTTACAAAACCCATATATTGATGTTGTCAGTATTTTATACTATTTGCAAGGAGTTTGTTGGCATTTTTTTCAGTGAATATTATACCTGTATGTTGCCTGCATACTTACTCACAAACCTTTTCTTTATTGGAATGATACTGGTAAATATATTTATCTATTGTATTATTATGATTAATCTTTTGATATATATATTTATTTTTATTTTAAACTTTTTTTCTAGGGTATTATACCGAAGTGTATATCCTAGTTATTATATCTGAAAAAAATATCATGACCCAATCTAAGCTTTTAGAATTCCTTGACACCTCTACCTTTTTTTACCCAGTAGTTAAAAAAGGTAAAATAGAAGGCCAAGTGATTCGCTATTCTAGTTAAAACTACTTGAATAGTATTCTAACTTGACATGATATAGTTGCAGAAAATGATGAGAGATTAACTGCAATCCTTGATAATGCTCTATTCAGTTGCTAAGAAATTCTATTCATAGCTATTGATTTTGAGGATTCATCAGAAAAATAGGTAAAAAGAACTGTTACAATTTATGTCTTTATGGTTTTTTTATCAATAGCCAAAAAGTAATAGTTACTAGGATTTCTCAAAATCGAATCAAATCAAATATTTAAGCAATTTGAATTTAATTTGATTTTTTCAAATTGAATCAAATCGAATCAAATTGAACTCAAATATTTGATCGAATCAATTTAAATTGATTTGAATTTAATTAAATTAAATTAATTTAAATCAAATATTTAATCGAATCAAATCAACCCAAATCAAATCAAATCAAATCAAATTTAAATTTTTTTTTGATTTTTACAATGATATATTATAATAAAATTATTCTAAAGTTTTAATTAAGAAAATTATTAGTAATTGTACTAAATTTTCAAAGATAGCTTTTACAAAGTAAGTTTATTAACAGGTGAATTTTTACTATTAAACTTAGTAAAATAACTCTGTGTCTTTGTTTTATTAAGAAAACTTAGTAATAACTGTTATTATGACTTCAGTTTTACTAAGAAAATTTAGTAATAACTACCATCTTGACTTTGTAATAATTTTATTAGTAAAAAATGTTACTGAAGCTGCGAACGCAATTTTTTACTAGGTTTCTTAATAAAAATGTTTCTGAAGCTGCGGATGCATTTTTTATTAGGTTTCTTAATAAAAATACTGTTCCTGAAATTGCAAACGCATTTTTTTAATTGATTTATTAGTAAAAAACATCTCTGAAATTGCAAAGGCATTTGTTACTATATTTTCTTAATAAAATAGCATCTCTAAAGCTGCGGAGATATTTTTTACTTTGTTTTCTTAGTAAAATAGCATCTTCAAAGCTGTAAAAGCATTTTTTACTATATTTTCTTAGTAAAATAATGTTTCTAAAGCTGCGAAGGTATTTTTTACTATATTTTTCTTAGTAAAAAAGTATTTCTGAAATTATGAAGACGCTTTTGCTATTGTTTTCCTAATAAAAAGGCATTTCCAAAGCTGCAGATGTGCTTTTTACTATAGTTTTCTTAGTAAGAGCTATTCCTGAAACTTTGGAGATGGCTTTACTATTGATTTGAATTCGAATCAAACATTAATTTGAAATTGATCAAATAAATCATTTTTGATTTAAATTTGATCAAATTAAATCAAATATTTAAATATCAAATTGAATTATGGAAATAATTACCCTTATAGGATTGTAGGTATTCTTTGATGTTCTTATGTTAGATAAAGAACCCTTAGACAATTTTAAAATAAAACAGATGAAATTCTTTGAACTGCTATAAATGACTATAAAATAAAACATATTAAGGCTTTTCTATTTTGTGATTAATATACAAAAAAAAGTCATATCTACAAATTTTTACGTTTGATACTGGAGATAATAAGAAAGTTCTTTAAGTCATCCAAGATGGAAAATTTGAAATTGCTTCAAATGATATATATTCATTTCATTGTAAAGTAGATATAGAAAATAGAATCACAATTTCTGGCTGGTTTATGATAAGCAAATATAAATACAGAAGACATTCTTATTATACATATGATTTTTATGTTTCTGTAAATCATTTTCAACTAGTAGAAGACCTAAAAATAATAAGTGAATATTTTCCAATTTCAGCTTTCACAAGAGATTATAAAGACACAATTATGAGAGTTGAGCAAATTTATTGAACTACATAATGAAGAAGCTATTGTATTTAAAATTTGCATAACTTTGCACTGGAAAAATGATCTAAGACCACTAACACAAATCTGTCTTGTCAATTTTAAAATTGTATCAGACTCATGATAGATAACAATTGTGTGTAGAAAATAGTCAAATAGATTAAAGATATTCATATTATGTTGAAAAACCTTTCAGCCTGATATCCAACTTGGTTTCAATAATTCTAATTATGATTGGCCATTTATTATAAAAAGAGCTTATAGGCTTAATCTTTTTGAATGGATGTGAAAGCAAATGATAGAAAGCTTTAAATCATCTAAAGAAATTCAAAAATGAAATTATTATAGAAGGGTAGAGATAAAATCTAAAAATATTTTTCGGGGGAAAAAAGATGCTACTATTGATATTGATAATAGCAGGAAATTTTTTCAGAAGATAATCATCGATGTTTATCACTTATCAGTAAATATCACATTTTATCATTTGAAATATGATGATAATTAACAAATTTGAAAAACATCTAAACGTTTATTATTGATAATTAATAATATCAAAAAATATTTACATGTCAAATAATAAATTATTTAAAAAATATATTTATTAACAAAATATTCATTTTCACAATTATTTCTTAGTATATTATGTATTATCATATTTACTGAATCTAGATACACACATGTATATTGATCAATTATTTGTAATCTTGAACATCTATACACTTCATCTATTTCGTTATACCATCTTAATAAAATAAGATTTGTTGGTAGTTTTAAATTCTCTGTAAAAAATTCTAATAATAAAAGTGCCTAAATTAAATTGATAATGAAAGTTATATAATTTACAATGAAAAAATTATATTTTATAATGAAAAAATTAAAATATACCTTTTCATATCACATAGTTTTTTATTAGAAGAAATTGCAATGTCGCTAAACTATTCATTACCATAATAACTTCCTAATATTCGAATTATATCTGTTAATTCAACATATATAATTGAATATATCTTAAAATATGCTGAATTTTTATCACAGATTATTTCATTTACAGTTAAAAACTCTTTCAACCCTATATGAAAATTTTCAAAACCTTCTTTATACAAGAAATTGATGTTGTTATCCTGCATTATTTGAAAAACCTTTAAATCAAGTTCGCTAAATTTAAACTCCTATAATAGTTTATTAAATTCGCTAGATTTTCTCATTTTAGGCAACTTTTGTTTGAAGACTATATATTGACGTCGTACCTATTAAAAAATATATGCATATTAACGTTAATAGATTGAGTTGTATTTTTATTATAAAATAAATGCATCGATATATACTGTATTAAGTATTTGCATAACATATTTTTTTGTTGGTCATCCTGTAAGGATTTTTAATATTACTTTTATGCAATGTTTTATATGTCTCTGTTAACATTCCATTCATTGAGCCATAAAGACGAATGGACGAAATTATATGATAATGAAGTACATGAAGTTTTAGTATCTTGCAATTACTTTGAGAATAATCAGAAAATATAACCACAAATTCCTGACAGAATTCAGTTATTAATGTCTATTGATAAAAATAATTATAAATAATATTAATTTTAAATTTTAGTTTTAAAATTAATTATTGATACTTACCTCCAATTCTATTAAGTCTGTATCAGTGAATGATTCCTGACATAACTTTATATACATTTTTAGATATTTATAAAAAACATTACATAATTTTTCACATGTTAACCCACCCTCATTATAATTATTGTATAAATTATCTATAACAAATATTATCACTTTCATAATATTACGATAATCATTTGCAATAAATTTAGAGATATTCTCCAATCCATTTTTTAAAATTATTAATCCTGGATAATGTGAAATTATACAAAATCAATGATCCATCTCTTTGACAACTTTATTACTTACCATTCGATGTAAATATTCACGAGTATACTCAAGAAGGTATTTAGTTATTTCTAAATCAAGCATATATATGTGATCTGGAACTGTTGCTGAATAAATGTTAAAATCTTTGAATTTCCAAAAAAAATTGGATTCCACATGAATAGAAAATTCTTGTGCTCAATTCATGTTAATCATATTTCTTATTTGTTGCAGATTTCGTAAATAAACATTTGATAATGCTATATTGTTAAGATTTTCATTTTCGATTAAACAATAGCTACAAGGTTTAGAAGTTAATGGAAGATATATTGAAGTAAAAGCTCCAGCTTCAACCATATCTGCAAAAATAACTGATATCTTTAGTATAAATACGTATATTTTATTTTTTACAACAAAATGCATATCACTTTGATTTAATATCGGTGATAATAATATATGCAAACATCTTTGGAATACCTGTCGTTGTAATTTTGAAATACTTTAGAATTCCTAGTTATATTATCCTTAGCTTTCAATTTCGGCAAATAACCAACAAGTATTTTAGCATAAGGCTTATTTTGTAACCAATTTAAAATATTTCCAAGTGAAATATAAATCAGATGTTCTGATGTTTTACCTAGATGACCGTATGTGGTTGCATCCGTATAAATAATAATCGAAAGCAAATTATTATCAATGGAAATCTTTTTTCCGTTATATGCTACCAATCGCTTTTATATTGTTCATCATAAGTTTTAACAGAAGTATTACCCTGATATTAAAAAACAAATTCTTCATTAATATCAGTTTGTAAAAGTAAAGTCTTAATTCCATTAATTATTGGTTGATAATAAAATTCATAATTAACATCTTCAAATTTGGTAATGGGAATTTTTTTAAATTTCATATAAAGAAAATCGCTATTATCAAGGAATTTTCGTCCTTCTTTGGTAATTTTTGGAAATAAATTTTTATCAACATTCTTGATAGAGTTAAATAGTTTGACTAATCTATCACCACATGAATTTGACAATTGATATTTAGTGATGATTTCCATAAATTCACAATAAGTATCATTTGGCCATTCTGTAGTTGGCAGATGCATCTTGTCATTTAAGGTATCATCTAACATGATTCTACAATAATCTTCAAAATTGATATTTAACGAAAATGTTAAATTAATATTAGCAGTATTCTCATCAGTTTCACTATTATCATCACTTTTATCATTCTCTTCATTAGTTTCTTGAGAATTTCATTAACATCATTCATCTCTTTATCAGTTTCTTGGAAATCAGCTGGTTTTAGTAAGTCTAATTCACTAGTTTCATCATTCTGTTTATGTTTATTTATTAAGATTAGTTCTTAATAATTATTTTTCATTATGACATTATATTATTATTACCTCTTGAGTTAGTGCTTCTGCTTTATAATCATCACCTCAAAGATCAGATTCTTGAATTGGTATTTCTTCGTCTGTATCATCCCAAAGACCAGATTCTTCTTGAATTAGTGTTTCTTTATCTTTATCATCCTAAAGACCGGGTTCTTCTACTATATTCATCTAAGATATTTCTTCTTTTTTATTGAGATCATATTGATGTTTATCAGAGATATGTCTTTTTAATGCATAAGAGGTTGCAAATATTCGTGGACAATTTGGATACTCATAAATCATAGTTTGATTTCAATTAATATAATGAAAGTGGATTTGGAATAAATTTAAATATATCGAAAGTGATGGGAAGAAATTTTAAGGTTCAGTTGTTATTTTTAGTTACGGAGAAATTTTTAATGTTTTATTTAATTATAGTGATGTTTGATATACATCATAGAAAAAGTGATGCAATTAATTAAAATTATTTTAAGTGATATGATAAATGATAATTACTAATTAATTGTTAATTTAGTCAAACAATTTTTATAAACAATGGTAAGAAATTTTCAAGAATAATTATAGTGATTTTGATATATATCACTCACAGAATATCATAGAAAAAAAGCGAAACAATTAATTATTTTAAGTGATGCTTAAGTGATGTAAATATAAAATTATACTTCGCATTCAATTAAACTTTTTTTTATTTTTTTATTTTTCTCACACTTGCTCTTTTTTTTCTTTTTTAAAAAATGATAAAAAGAAAGTCTCATAATACAAGATCCACTGCTTAAGTCAGAAATAAAAAAATAAAAAAATGATGAATTTTAAGATAATGACAATACAAATCAGAAAAGTCTAAAAAAAAAAATTAAATGAAATTTTAATAAAAAAAATAAAAATGAAACGTCAAGAATCGACGAAGAATTAAATGATGATTATGTAATCACACAAGAAAGTTTTACTGTCAGTAATTCAAAAGGTAATAATCATAATAATCCAGATATAGATAAAAGACAATATATAGCCGTCAAACAAATTAAATTGAAATATATTTTCACAACAATAATTACTAATAAAATTAATTTCATTCCAGATGTTGAATAATACATTAGTAAACCAATGATACCAATCTTATCCAATGAACAGCACATCAGTAAACCAATGACACTAACCTCATCCACTCATTATGTCAGTAGACCAACATCACCAATCACAAATGATGAACAACGTTTTAAGCGTCAACAATCAATAGTAGCTAGTGAACGAGATATTACGATTCTGTACTATGATGAAATCTTGAATTACTCTCAAGAAAAATGTATCATACAATTGGATGATAATTACTATAATAAACGATTTGAGAATATGTTCAAAAAACAGTTAAAACAGCTTCGTGCATTATATAAAATGCATAAAGCAACCAATGCAGACTTGCATGGATCCAAAACCATATGAATAAACAAATCGAAGATAAAAACAAAGATTAAGTGATAAGGTTTTTAACATAAAAAATTTTATTTTTAAATAATTTCATATTACATTTAAATACCTATCAATAATCATTGATATTTTTAACTATATATCATATAAATAATGCATAAGATGAATATAGTAGTGTATGTCAAGTATTTTTTCCTGAAAAGATGTGGCATGAATTTGAAGAGTTTAAAAATTCATTTGAGAATTGGTTTAAAACATATTACTTGGAATATTTTAATGATTTATCAGCAAGAGAAAGGGTAAATGCCTTCTCAGGAAAATATCACACCATAGTAATTATCAATAATTATTTGAAATGTATATTAAATTTACATAATTTTAATTTTTGTTATTAATCGATAATTTTTATTTAACAGCTTATGCGCAAGATGAAAGATACAAAAGGTATAAATTCAGCGGCGGTTCGAAATGCAATCTCTAGAGAATCCAAGATCCAATTACTGTTAAGCAACAAGCAAAAATGTGCAAGTGACGTACTAGAGTGAAAAAATTTAAAAAGAGTTAAAGATTGTCATTGAAAATTATTTGAAAATGGTTATAATGTGATCAAAAATATTGTGAAGAATGCATTTACTAATATTTCTGATGATGATGAGTCATTTCTTAGTATTTACACTTATACGATAGCTTTATGTGATATTGTTCTAAACCCAGATTATCCGGATACAGAATGTGCAAAAAAACTATTACAACGATGTTTTCAAGTATTTAAGGTAATATTTATTTTTTTATTAATTAACTATTTATAAATTATCATTATATTATTCATTATTGTAATTGATTTTATTTATTAATTATCATCATATTTATTTATCATAATTGTAATCGACTTTTTAGGATGCACTTATAAGTCGTGACAGTATTAAACTTAGTGATTCTCAAGCGGTATTAAAAGAAGAAACTCCAGAAATTGAAAAAAGAAGAAAAAAATAATTGAAGAACCAGATGAAAAAGGTGATGTAGTATCTGCTGATACAAGTGAACTGGCAAATTATAATTCATTATTTAGTAATATTAGTAAGTAATTATCATTATCGTAACATTACGATATAGTTTAGGAAAAAAATTTTAAATATTTTAATACTGTATGGCGAAACATTTATCAATAAATATAATAATTATTTTCAATAATTTTCTATTTGATTACTTTTTGATAATTTTCTATTTAATCATTTTTCAATAATTCTTTATTTAATTATTTTTTCAATAATATGCCAATCAGATTATTTTCAATAAATAACATTTATGTTAAGTTTGATATTTAATCACTATTTATCCCCATCGCTATCATTTGACGAGTCTGATTATTATCGATTTATGTCACATAATCATTTCATCGGCATATATCCTTCTAAAAAATTTCCTGATAAAGAAAAAAGGCCATAGGATACAGCTGATTGAAATCAAAATTAGTCTAAAAGAAACATATATTTCAACTTTTCTTAAAATATCAGGCTGTGTACTAATTAATGCATGTTTATGAGTTTTTACTTTTATGCAAAAGTAGATAAGAAAAGCTCACTTAAAATTATGTGATCTTGGCGTTAAAGCTAATATGTCATATAATAGAATGTGAAGGATCTATTTAGAAGCAAAAGGAATATCTCTTTACCAGAAGTGCTAAAAGCAGATATATTGCATTCTTTTATCATAGAAAATATACATAAAGTAGCATATTATTGTATTATAGATGCATTGTATTATCAGGAACTCATGGTTAAGCGAAATGTAATTAATGACTATAGAGAGATCGCTTCTTTAGCTTACGTATCTTTATTCAATTCTCATTATTAAACAAATGAAATGAAAATGTAAAACCTTTTAGGTGCTTATGCCAGCAAACATGATATGCTATTTAGCACAAGATAGTGTAAAAATATAGAAAAGAACAAGTATCCTGATATATACAGTATGTATTTCTGCCTAAAAAGGGAATTGAGACTAAAAGACCTGTAACAAGATTGGATTTTGCATTATTATATCCCAGTCTCATTATAACTTACAATCTCTTTTCAGAAAAAAATGGTATTAACTAATAAAGAGGCTGATGGTATGCAAAATAATAGAAACATCTTACATAAGATTGAGTTCCTATTTAATAAGCACATCTTCTATGCATGATGTGATATGATAACTAATTCAAAAATAAGGGCTTATATCCTGTTATGTTAAAGAATTTGTTCAACAAGAGAGTAAAGCTTAAAGTACAGCTTGTCTCATTAGAAAAGAAAAAGGAGCATCTTGGAAAAATGATAAGTTTAGCTAAAGAAAGAGGTAAAAGATTCTGAATAGCTTAAAATCAGAATACTTGTCTATATACTTTAATTATAACTGTTTGAATTCCAAGCAGTCTGCTTTGAAGATATACATGAATACTTTTTATGAAAAGGTAAAAAATAGCATATCCCTATTCTTTCTTCATGAACTAGCTATAAGAATTACTTTTGCAGGTCAATACAATATAGATCTTATTGTTAAATTTGTATCTGGAAAAGGTTTTAAAATGAAATATGGTGATACTGACTCTTTTTATCTTACCTGCCCAGATAATTATTATGAAAAATATGATAAAGCTTTAATGAAAAAAAGCTTTTCAAGAAAGAGAATACTAGGCAGAAATAGTAAAAATCACTATGAATATAATGAAAAGATTGTATGACTAAGTAAATACCTATCTTAGGATAAAAAGTAGCACATATTATCTTAAGATGACATACGAAGAAATAATATTTCCTATTTACTTTATTGGAAAGAAAAATACTTTAGTATATTATATAAAGGGGTTGTCAATTTCAGGCTAGAAAATCTCTTTAAAAAGAGATTAATATTATAAAGCAGGAGTAATTCTAGCTTTTCAAATTATTAGAGAAAAGATTATATAGAAAGCTATAGACATGAATAATATACGCTCAATTCACAAAATTGTTGAAGATGCTCTTATATAATGCAAAGTTAAGCTATTATTGTAAAAACATCTATAATATGGTGATCTATATATGTATGTATGGTGATTAATGTATAGTCATATATAGAATGTATGCTGCATTCATACATATATTTGTTTTCGTTAATTAAAATATTATATAACAAAAACAAATGTATGTATAAACGCAAGCATACATCCTATACGTTGTAGAGTCAACAATTTCATTAAATTAAAACACAGCAATACAAAAGGAAATGATCAACCATATACAGTAAAAGTTACAAGAAAAAGACACAAGATAAAAAGAGAAATAATCATTTTATTAAAGGAAGATATAATACACGGATAAATTACGGACCGAAAAGAAAGATTACACGAAATGGATAAATTACGGAAGGAAATAATTCGGATAAATTAGTTACCGAAAGAAAAAGGATAATTAATTAACCGAACGGAGGGTCAAGGAAA